AGAATCGCTTCTGATACTGAACCGACTCTCATCCGTAAAGAGGACGCGACTCCATTGATCATTTGTCCAGTTTTTGTGCTCTCTGCACCACTGTAAACGGTGGCGTTGGTGGCCAACTTTCAACGGGAGGCAGCGTTCAGGACGGCGGACGAATAGGCCTCCTTTGTGAAGACGTCTGGCCACAGTAAACCGCGACACTTGTCGCCCATTGCTGTACAGAGTTGCTGAGCAATGGCGCTTGCTGACTGCTGTCGGCCTCTTTTCGCCTGCAGGACGATATATCGGTCATTACCTGCAGTTGTCGTCCTCAGGCGGCCACCACGAACCTTTCTAACAGCTGTACCTGTGGTTTGGAACGCTTTCCAAGCGCACGAAACGACACTTTTGTTGATTCCGAACTCTGCAGCTACGCTGGTGACAGTACGCCCCTCCTCCAGCTTTCCGATCATTCTTCCACGTGTGAAATCGTCCAGGTGATTTCTTCTAGCCATATTTTACGAACTGACTCACTGGCACTTGCAGCGAATATGTTGAATTGCGTCTCCGTCCTTCCTTTTTTTCTACTGTTTAGCTGCGTGCGCCGACATCACGCGTTTTGTGTACGCTCACGTCACCTCTGAAGTTTCATTCCTGATATTTGCATACGCATGACGATTTTACCGACTTACGTGTTCATTGTACTGATCTCCAGACCTTCTTTTCTGCAATTTCATGGCTATCTGCTAAATTTTTACATTGTTGCTTAAGTTTTGCATACCAGTTTAGATAGTTATCTACATAGAACGATTTTTAAATAAAGCGCTTACTTGCGCTCACATGAAGCACTTCAACGTATTTGATTACTTCGCACTCGAGGAGTATTTTAAAATTAGACCGTTTGCAACTCACCTGACCAGGGACTTAAACTTTCTTACGTAGAATATCTATCTCCTAAGTTCTCAACATACCTGCTCTCTTATTATATGATTGCACATTGTAAATGTACTGTTCACTTAGTTTTTATGTATTCTCACATATCTTATGTATTTATATGTTTTCTTATTTTGCATTTTTACTTATGTTTACGCGTTAATTTTCAAGTTTGAGTTTTCACTTCGAATTCTCACTGACCCTCACTGCACATTACGTCAGCTGTTAGATTCACCGTCCTGCATCTCCATTGTTCGCTTTCTATCTTGCTTGGCTCTTAGAGCCTTCGTGATGCATGGTCATCTCTTCTCACCTTTGACCTTTCCGCTCCTTGTCTCCGTTCTGTGGGCCTTATGCTTCACTCACGCGCAATACACATTTTTTCAGCTCGGCAGTCTTCTTCGATTGGCGACGAATGTAGATAATAATCTCTAAGATTCTTTGGCTTAGAGATTCTTTGAATTGGCGACGAATTACAATGCTTCAGGCAGGCATTGTAAAATGATAACGCTAGCGTGACAATATTTAACGGAACAGTAGCGTCTCCGTTCTGTGGGCTTATGCTTCACGCATGCGCAGTGATATGCTTCGTTAGCGTAATAGGCTGGCATCTGTTATACACTTTTGGCGATATATCGTAAGATTGGCGATTAATGTTGTTTCGTTAAATATTGTCACGCTAGAGTTAACCTTGACTTACCGGTTTACTTGTGTCTTTTATTTAGTGTGATTATTATGGAAGAAATTTTTTTCTGTTTGGAATGTTCGAAGTTCTATTCATTCCGACGAAATCTACGAGCGCATATTATTAAGTGCCATCTTTCGAAATTAGAAAAATTAGCTCCTACATTAAGAGCTGCTTGCAAATTTACATGTGATGATTGTGAGGAAGTTTTTTTCAAAACAAAACCTGCTTCGTGCACATAAACGCAATGGTAAAAATGATGTATCTAAACTCGCAGAAGATAGTAAAAGTTACAAATGCAAGCAAAAGTGCCCGTTATGCGATAATGCGATTTTGCATCTACAAAGGCAGAATTACTGAACCATTTCAAAAACTTTCATGATATATGTATTTCAACTGAAGATCTACAGTTCCCTTCTTTTTCCGCATAAGCTTAGCACTTTACAATGCGTGCCTGAAGTCTACATTCGTCGCCAATCGACGAAGGTTGCCGTGCTGAAAAAATATGTATTGCGCGTGCGTGAAGCATAAGGCCCACAGAACGGAGACTACTCTCTACTTCATCGGCCTATGGCAAAATTGTTACTGAGCCAGATACATCGCGGTGATACCATAGACCTGTTATATACTAGACGGATCATCGCCATTCAAAACCGGGTGAAAAAGTGGCACAGGAATGAGCTGCAGGAGTTTGGGCATGAAATGGAACTGAATCCAGACTTTCGCGTACTATCGCCATGGCTGGCGATTTTTTTCTCTCTTTTCTCTCAGTTCGAAATGCGAACTTGGAAAGACGTCATTTCGCAGAAGCTGCCGTTGAATTTGCAGAAGAGGTTAGATCGATAAACACCAGCCAAAATTAATAATTTTCCCTAAAATTGAACACTTTATTTTAAAATTTAACTTTATTTTAAATTTTAATTTTTAAAATTTAAATAATTTTCATGCTGTAGAATAATATTTTGCAATATGTCCATCGGCGTCTACCGAATTTAAAATAAAATTAAAAAAACTGGAGAGAACAAACTAAATAATAAACTAATAACTAAATAATAAATAATAAACTAATAGCAAACTAAAAAATAAATAAGTAAAATAAATAAATAAAAAAGAAGGCTTTTTAGTACTCAGGACAGAATAAAAAAAAAAAAAAAGAGATAACATAAGAAGAATGAGTGAAAACAGAAAATAGTACAAAAAGGAAAGTTAATATTAATACGAAAAGGAAATTTAATGTTAATACGAAAAGGAAATTTAATGTTAATACGAAAAGGAAATTTAACGTTAACACGTGTATTACAGAGAACTACAGAGTAGGCAAATCAAAGTGAGAAAGATATTAAATTAAATGAACTAAAAATGAATGTCAATATAGCAGATATCAAGCTTAAAAGGAAGAGAGAGAGTGGTAAATAATTAAATTTGAAACAAAAAAGGTGGTAAATTAAGACTTCCTTTTACTAGCAAATATATATATATATATTCCTTTTACTAGCAATATATATATATATATATATATATATATAATATACATTATGTTGTTTCACAATGTAGTCGCACTTATTTTAAATAATTTTAGAAGGTAAAATTTAAATAATGTTCATTATTTTTAAAAAGAAACTTAAAATTATTAAAGTTTTGAAATTTAACTGCTATATAATTGCTATTTTCTTAATACTTAACAAATTATTAATATTTGAATAAATGCCAGAAACATGATATAAGAAAGAAAATACGTGATTGAAGGTAAACAAATTTGTTATATTTGGATGCAAAGAAAAGGATATAAAATAAAGTCATTCATGTCCTGTCCCCCCCTAAAAAAACATAATTTTATGCAGTTCTTACACAGTGTTACATCAACATTACCAAGTATTAAATACATACATTACTACTTCGCACATGTCCGCATGAGCAAACGCAAAGAATATATAAAACAAACGCATTCAAAAGCAGTCTGTTGGCGTATAAAAAATGTCACCGAAGCAGAATACTAGACTAATTAAAATTATATTGTATTACTAAAATTTTAACATTTTTTTCAGAAAACAGTTATTAGAAACATACATATATATTAAGATACTTTTATTTAAATGTTATTTCAAGTATGCATATATTATATAAAATTAGAAAATCTATTTTTTATTAGAAAAAGGTAAGTAGAGTGGATAAAAAAACCTCTACATTTTATAAAATTAGATTTTTAAAACATTAGAAAAAAGCTCAGTTGTGAAATGTTACTCCTCCATCTTTCACATATCTGGAATTACATCCATATGCGGAGCACGAAAGTATCATTTTTGAAGTCCGAAACAATGCGCTTACACGCAAAACACTTGCTTCTCACAAATTCTCCATAGAACTGTAATGGTAAGGAAGATTCGCGGGAAATACGATCTGGGAAATGTACCAAATGTCACGTGGTCCGTATTCCTGTTCCCCTTCAGGGTTGCCGTTTCTCTCTCTAGTATATTACAGCTCTATGGGTGATACCTGCACCGAACGAACGCGAGATACAGAACTTACCCCCTTTTTTCTGCTCAGCTGAGGGACTTTGTTGTAAAATAAACCGAGTTATTATTATATGTATTTGTTTAAGGTGTTTTATTAAGATAAATTCAGTTCACTGTCACACTTACATATATTAGTAAAGTATTTCTATCGTCATGAAAATCTTATTGATTAATAGCAAGCGCCAGAATTTAGGCGCTGCAAAATGTGCACTAGACGGAATAATGCCTAGCATTGGCCCTACTGAATAGTATTTATTTGGCAGTACCTGTCCAGAGTAGAGCAAAAAGAAACAAACTTGAATTGGAGGATTTGTTATGGAAATAAAATAAGTATACCATTTCGCACTTTAATATTAAGCAAAATTTAATCTCAGATTGTCATTAATTATACAGAATAGCTCTGTGCAGTTTCAGAGAACCTGATCAAAATGTGTATTTTACAAAGAGCAAACAGAGGGTAAGCTAGAGTTTCCAGCGTCCGAGGACAACTGAAGAATTGGCGCATCTTGGATGCAGCGCCCGGGGACAAATATCCCCCTAGCCCGACCCTAGCTACGCCACAGGGAGCAAAACTGTTTTTCCTTAATCTTACTCCAACAGTTTAAAAAGGCCTTATGCTTATATTTCAATAAAGAGATGTGTTAATATTTTTCCTAGATTTCTCGGTCACTGATTTTTGTACATGTGTTCCACTGTCAGTATGTATAATCAAATTTAATTATATGAATCATAACCTGATATAATACCTATGGTATTAAACATGGTATTTTCTGATATTAAACCATAAAATGTGGCATTAAACATGGTATTTTCTGATATTAAACCATAAAATTTGGCTTTAAACATGAAAACCATTTCAGGGAGGCAAGACTAATGCAAAATTTATCTTTCAGGTGACATTATATACTCGAGCTCAATATCGTAATGATAATGGTCAAAAAGTTGAAGAGAAAACAACAAAAATTAACATTATTGATATCAAATCAAATAAGATGGAACATAAGATTGACGTTTTGCCTAATACAGAATATACTGTTCAAATTTGTACTATAAACAGAAGTGGCTGTGGTCCCATGACAAATATAACAGCTAACACTCAGTGTAAATCTCTGACAAATGGTAAGTACTTTTTATCCTATTCTGTTGAATGAATATCACTGTAATCATTATAAGATTAAAATTTCAGAATTGTTTACTTTTGTGATGCTAAATTAGAAAATTCAGTTGTTTATTATGGTTTTCTTATGCATGTAATTTAGCATTAAATTACATGTATGAATTCTTAATTCTTTCTGATATGCTGTTTATATGCGAATATGTAGTTTATAATGCTAAGTTTTAAGAAAGAGCTCTCTTAATTTAGGCTGAGAAATTCTAGAACATTATTTCCAAGTAATTTCGTAGAAATTTTCTGTCTGCTTTAATTCTGATTATAGCCATCTGCCTACATTTGAATAGCATTTTCATTTAACACTTAGCCTTTATTATTATTAGTTTAAGTTTTTTTATTTCCTACGATCAGCTAGCTTTTCCCTATTTGCCGGATATTTTATATTAAAATGTGTTGCATTTATGCTTATTTAATATATATATAGTTGCTATTGTATCTTTCATATTTGCAATTTTCTGCCCAGACATATTTATATTGATTCATACGAGTTTTAATGTGCAGATGAATATTTCAAAAATTTTTACTTCAAATCACTGAAACTCTCATGACATGTGTTCCCCCTCATGAATTTATCAAAGCTTAATGAATTAACTATAGTAAACCATACCTGTGTTACCATAAATTCAAACAACATCCCATTTAATAATAAGCATTTCTTTTCTGATATTTGTAACAGTAAACTGAAGCATTCAGATTTTGAATTTAGCTTTCTGGTACTAACCTTGTAACATAAATTTTTTAATAATGTTAATAATGCATTAAAACTTTTACTTCCCTCTCATACATCTTATTGAATTACCATTTGTGCTGATATATTATTTTATAGATAAATTGGTAAAAACTTGCACTTTTTATCTCATCTGCATTTTTCATGCGTTTCCTCCTTCAATGTCATATATTGAGGATCATCCCTTTTGGATCTGCATCCTATACTTTATTATTTAAGCCTAATCAAAAACTATAAATTAGTAATTTTTTTATAAAAGTCAAAGTCTTTATTTGTAGCAATTTTAATTTACTTGCGATGTTGTTACTACATTTTCTGGTTATATGAGATGTGCATGCATGCCAGTAAATATTCTTTTGCTATAAAATATTCATTTGTTGTTTTTTCTAGTTAATTGTTCATGCACTAATACATAAAAAGTTCTCATCTTTGTTTTTTTTTTTTTTTTTTTTTTTTTTTTTTTTTCAATAGATTTACACTTATGTCCGTTCATGATATAAACTATGGTCTGTAATAAATACATTTTTAAAAAAATTCTTTTGAAAATTTTACAGATGGCTAACATTTTTAATTAATGCTTAATATACATTGTTTGGACCTCATTTATGGAATTTACTGATTCTCTAAGCATCATCACATATTACTGGGGTAGTTTCTGTGCCATAATGATTTCTCTGAATTATCCCAAAAATGCATTAAGACATAAATAAAAATAGAAACATCTAGTTGTTATAACAAGAGCTCCTTTGTTGTAAAAATTTTAACTTCTTTATTAATATTTAGTTATAGATTTTTTTAATGTTTGCAATAATTCTGTTTGGCATAGAGTCAACTAATTTTTGCCATTTTTCATCAGGAATAGAATATCACGCATCTTGCTTAATTCTCTAGTGTTTCTTCACATTTGACATTATTTTGCTTTTAAGTTCATGCCATAGGTTCTAGGCCCACCAGTAGCCAAGCAGTAAAGTTGCTAAACACTGGTAGTTCGGTCCGAGGTTTGAATCCCATGAACAGGCTGTCTGCATGTCCGTTTTCATGGTTTTCCCCGTGTGTAATGTGTATACGAGCCAATTTCCCTAAGAAAATTCTCCACAAATGCATCCCTCCCCTTAAGCAGATAGCCCTTGGGGCTTTGCCATAATCAAATGAACCAAACCAAAACCATAATTTCTCAGCTGGATTTAGATTTAGTAACTGAGAGAGCCATACAGGAACATTAGTCCTGTTTTGTTCAAAACAGCTTCTCATCAGCTTTGCTGAATGCTTCAGGTCTTGTTGAAAGTGGCATTTCAGTGGCATGTTATTTTCTGCCTTTGGTAACACAGTTTTCTCCAAAATATCCACATACACCTTTTTGGTCATGATAGCATCTTTATGAAAAATTGGGTCCATGCCTGAGACTGGCCCGCCACCCCTATCCAGCTAATACAATTGATGAAGTGTGGCATAGACTTGAAACAGCATGGAAAGAGTTACCCGTTTCTGTCATCCAAGTCCATTTTGACTCCATGCTTAACCGGGTAAGGACTGGCAGCTATTTGTACTAATTTTGTCCCTCCCTGTAAACCCCCAAACTGCTTACAAATTTAATCATTTTTTCTTCATGTCATACAGCTTACATGCAATAAATATCTTTTTTGTATTTGCTTTTTTTCATGGTGTTACAATTTTAATGGCCAGCTATGAATTTCACGTAGCCTTTTTCAATTATCCGTTGCTCGTGGAATCTGCCTCGGATGCGTTGGAGTCCATGTTAAGTTCTGTGAGTGCTGAGATTTAGCCATGTGTTTGTTCAGCTTTCCAGCAGTGTTTTCACTTTTCTGCAGAGGATCTTGGCAGTGCATCAGCACTTCCATGCAAAATTCCTATGCAATATTAAATTTACAAATCATATTCCTTTAGCCACTGCATCCATTTGGGAATATTGATACCTTTGTATTTTGTAAATTCAGCAGCCAACTCATTGAGACACAGCAAGAATTGTCTCAGCAAAAATTCGTCTCATTTCTTCATGTGCTCACTAATCATTATATGAGCATAAATTAACAACTTTTAAAGTCGGAAAACACGTGGCTGCAATGTTATGATCATGCAATGATTTGTAAGTGCTTTATATTTTACCTAGATATTTTTACAATGTTTTTAAACTGCAATGTTTTCTCCACGCTTTCTTTTATTCCACAATGTTTTGTATGACGATGTTTTCATCTTTCTTTGTTTTCTCTGTAGTGTGTTTTATATATGTCCAGAAAATATGCTTACAATATTTCTTTGTTTATTCTTGAAGACAAAAATAATGAAACTAAACGACAATTTTTTCTATGGATGTGTACAGTCTGCTATCTGTTAATCACAGTAGAATAGATAATAGTGCTGAGCACTGGGGGTTAGCCCACTGATTGTCCTGGCGAACGTGCTAGGCTACATGGCATTTCCATGGTTGACCTCAAGTGTAATGGGAATATGAGCCAGTTTTCCCTAAAACGTTATTCACGAAGACATCCCTTCCCTTAGGCAGATAGCTCTAGTGTGTTTAGCTATAATCTAATGAATGCTAGACATCCAAATCTGCTGAATCTCCATTACTGTAATTTTCTTTCATTTCAAATTAATATGTTTGGTTACTGAAATTTTCTTAATTTTAATTTAGCTCTAGGTGCATTAATATCATTGTGTGATATCAGACATAACTTATGCCGTACAAGATAAATGAATTTCAAATAGCAGAAAACTGACTGAGATGTTTATAGTGTTATTAAATATAATGAGTTTGGTCATTAAGAACTGAGAAATGTCTGACCTAAATTGAATGTTTTCCTTGATTGTGCTGATACTTTTAGTTTTTATTATGTTACGCTTCTTGTTGTTTTGAAGGTACCTGGAAAGTTGTAGACCAAAATTTTATGTAATTGCTTTCAGATAGAAGTTTAAACTGATTTTCCATTCAATGATAAGCTTAAAATTTATCATTTCAAAATGTGTTTTCTTCATTATTTCAGTTCCTTCTTCACTGCCACAGTTTTCCATGCAGCGAAAAAATAACTCTAACGATTGTAGACAACTTGAATTAAAACTGCAAAGAGTTTCTGAAAGAAATGGTTCTATTTTGTAAGTGATTTTTTCAAAACTTAAAAGAATCTAATTCTGTTATATGTGTTAAAGTTTCTATTTATGTTGAAAGTATTTACTAGGTGCAATTTAATTCAAGTTCTTTGTTTCAGGTGTTACAAAGTTATTATAATAAAACTTTCAAAAGGCCAAAATCTCAGCAAATTACCATCAAACCCACTAGCTCTTAAGCTCTCTACACATGAACAAGTTCATAAGAATGGAGGTTATGGTGCTTATGTTGCAGAAGCTTTTACCAGGTTAACAATTTACTCTCATCCTCTTCAAAATAATTTATTTTAAATTTAAATGAACCTAAGTATTATACATTGCCTCAAGGAGAAAATAACACAAGAATGAAATAGTTCTGCTTCCCTCTGTAAATTTGGGCTGTGTTTAAACTAGCAAGTTTGGCAAATTGTTGCTTTCTTTGGTCTCTCCTGTGATCTAGAAACTTAACAAAAAGCTGTTAGTTAACCACTGAGACTTTGGCAGTTACCATGGAATTCATATTCACACATTGTTTTCCATATCAGAGTGCAGGCTAAATAATGAAAATGTGTTTGAGACATCATCGAGCGTGTTTTCACCAAACTTATGTCCATATTGAAAATTTAGTCATAGACACATCCGACACTGCACTAGTGCCTTCAAATTATTTAGCTGGTCTACTTCTGTATGTTACGGGAGATACATAATTACGGCGATATCCATGCGCATAATTTTGGTAAATTTGCTGAGGCAAGGTTGCTATCATGCCATTCTTCATGAAGATTGCCCCTAAAATAGAACTATCTTTACACACGTTTGTTATACGTTTGTACAACAGACTATCTGCGGTGACATGATCATTGAGCTTATCCTCTTCCCACTGCCAAGTATTTCTCTGCCTGTAAATATAAAGCCATTGTTATTTGGGATGTGATTCACATATGCAACCAATCACCTCTGGTACACATTACAGGTGCAACACCAAATGGCTGTATGGTGATGAGGTGTTGGAGCCCTTCTGGCTACTGTATTTAAAAGTGTACCAATAGTCTTTTTCAGCATAATGCTAAACTACACACAGCTAATATTAGATATGCTTTATGAAGTACAATTAGTAGATGATCCTTTTATCAAAAACAATACCTAGATCTCTTCCAACAAGAAATCTGTGGAACATGAATGGTCATAAAATGAATGCTTTCCAGTATTTTCAAAATGAGAATGATTCACATTATTCCAGGACAAGTTAGTGCAATCTGAGTCAATACCTGATTGCATTTAATTGTTTTATGACCCTAACTACTGACTGGTAGCCCTATAAATTTGGCTATAGAATGCATGTTATTATTTCATATTAAACTTTTTCAGTAGTGTTATTTTCTTTGTGTCAGTAGTGTTATTTTCTTTTGAATATATCTTTACGGTGTGGCATTTTCTCCGTGAGGCAGTGTTAATTTGTTATCGACACATGAAATACTTTTTTTTTTTTCGTTCTAGTGATGATTTTGTCAGTGAAGTGGTTATTGGTGATAACCATCAGCGAAATTGTTCTTTGCCATCGGATAAAAAGCGGCATATAGTCCAAGGTTTAGGGGCAAACAAGGAAATACAAGATATAGATATAGTTCAAGATGGAAGTTTAGCTCCTAGTACAAATTATACTGGATATATTTTAATCAAAGTGCAAGGTCCTAATAACACTGTAAGTCATTTATGTGTAAAATGAAAAACCTAAGTAGGACTAAGAAAGTACTGCTACTAATTTATAATTGCAAATTTTTGTAAGTGCATTTATTATATTCTAAAATCAAATAATTACTTAATTTTTCTAGGTGCTAACTAAAACAAGTTCTTATTTTTCGCCAATACTAACAGGTGAGTTTAAAATTACATATGCTTTAATTTTCACATTTTTTATCCAATATAAGAGTTTAAAAGTTTTTGATGATAAGTTAAAATTTGTCTAATTTTCATATAATTTTTTTCCCGATTGTTTGAAATAAGATCATTTATGTGAATGTCGTGAATTCTTATATGATGTAAAAAATAAAATATACACTGATGGACAAAACTTAAGAATGGTACACAAATGGCTATAGAGTAAAAAGCAGCCATTGTTGCTGAACAAGAAGGAAGAGCGATGTTGCCAAAATTTTGATCTTATGTTAAAGAAGGTTTATTGTGTACCTAAATACAGGGGGTCTTGAAATAGGCTGTTGGTGGAAAACTTACTCCCCCTCCCGCTATACAGTTGTATAACGAATGTAAATTATTGACAAGTACTGCTGAGAGACATGTCAGTATTCCTAATGTTTACCATGAAGTGTATTTTAACTTTCCACATGCCCTGGTATGCTGTAAACAACATGCTTCAACAACTGTTGAAATAAGTTATCCCACTTCTCTTTCAGTGCTCAGCTGAATGTGTTCTTGTTGATTGGACAATATTATCGAGTAGCAAGACTTTGCCTTAAAGCATCCAGAATATTTTCAATGGGATTTAGGTCCTGGAAATGTGATGACTAGATGAGGCATTACATATCCTTGTTGTCAAGATAGTCCTGTAAATGTTTGTGTGATTGCAAAGCAGGTTATGCCCATGGAACAAAAAGCCAATAGCACCATGGTAAGGATAACTATGAGACAGCAAAATTTCATTAATGCATCAAGTACCAATCAGAGTTCCAGATGCAAGAACATATAGTACTGTGTATCCATTGATCATCATGCTGGCACATCTCATGACACTACATTAGCCTTTTTTTTTTCCTGGATGATAAGTGCTACCACTCTTAACACCTATCAGTTGCTGTTTGCAGACAAAGGAAGAACCCTCAACAATGGGGCACCCATAATAAGTCTTTGGGCGTGTAATCCTTGTCATCACTAACGGTCCTACTGGGTGAGTTTACTATTCTGATAGTCTCAGCAATGGGGGCATAAAATACATGAGCCTAATTCCTATTATCCAATGCGGTAGCTTATGCTATCTTAAAGGGTAGTGGCTTCAGCCATCCAAGTGTGTAGTGTAATGGTCAGTCCCTTCACTAGTTTCAACAAGCTCTTCACATTCGTGGTGTGTCTGAAAGGTAATTTTTGATCTGTCCTTTGGGATAGGGGCCCTCGAATTGCAACTGCCTCGGATCTAGAAGCTTTATGATCCTGCTACTCCTGCCTAATATGAAGATCTTAATGGTGAGCCATGTAGCATAGTAAAAAAAGACTTGCGGAACATGTATACAGATTAATTCTATCTGGAAGATAGGATAATATATCGATCTTCATGAACAGTTGTAGTGGGAAGATAACTTCTCGACTTGCACCTGCTATAAAGTACCAGTGAACAGACTCCTGACACAGACAATCTGTGACTGCCCATACACGATTTGGAGTACTGACAGCCAGTGAATATCTAAAAAAAATCTCATAGTCTTGGAATAATCTGATCCCACTCACACTTAGCTGTCCTGACAAGATGACCCCATTGCGGGGACTGCCGAGCCAAGAGTAGGTACTCCTTACTGAATATAGTTTTGCGAGTCTGATATTTAGATCTACTATCAAGATCTGCTCTTGATGGCTTGACAGTTTGAGGAATGTTGCCACCCATCCACCATACCAAGGTGGACCCTCAGAAAGGTCTAGAGATATGTGTAACATGAGATGAACTTAGCAGTATCCTTACAGCCTCTGCGACACTCAAATAGACCGTCGTACAAACCAGGGACTGCAAGGTTTTGTTTAAAATAAATTAAATCATTGTTTAAAAATTACATTCATAACATAGGTTTGCATATGTTGATAATATATTTGCTGGACATAATGCTAATAGTATCAGTCATATAAAAATTACATGCACAACATATTTCCTGTGCATGCATTGATAATACATTTGCCATGCATATTGTTAATGCCAGTCGCATTTTTCAATGCAATGTACGTTTATGAATTCTGAGTGCAATTTTGTAGAGATTGGGTAAATTCTGAGTGCAATTTCGTACGGATGTTTGTGCTCTGCTTTTCTGTCTTCTGTCTCTAATACCGAGTATACTTATATTATGTTACTTGCCTGTTGTTATTTATCTTCTAATCAACTTGATCCATATTTTTAAGTTATATTTCTTAAATTATTACTAGTGGGGATGCAAGAACTTATTAAAATTGCTTAAGGTTGGGAGACTTGAAAAGTTTGAGAACCCACAGTATAAATGAAGGGAGCTAATTTCGCTCCATGATGGATCACCCTGAGACATTTCGCTTGTTTAAAATGCTGCCTGAAGCTGGGAAGCAACGCAGCAGGTGAATCAGAATTCCTTGGGAACTGCTGCTATTTGTCTCATTCTTCCAGCTTTCCGATTATATATTTGCATGTAACGTCATTTAAATGATGTCTGCAAGAGATAGCCACAATTTCACAATCGCCAACTAATTCTTTATGTTGAGATTTCACTTCTAAGTATAATTTTTTGTATGCATCAATAAATCACTTACCACCATTATCATGTGACCACACGTGCAAAGAAACAACTTTGCATACATACCGTGCTTCTCACTTCATCACACCATTATGCAAACTAGCATAAAAAAAAATGCAGCCTTCGTTAGGTTTTGTCCACCAATGTATATCTCCTTAATATTTTATTGTGTACCTGTAGCAAGATAATAACTGGAAGATATTGTGGTAGTATTATTCACTTAATATTTATGTTACATCTGAATGAGAAAATTTTCTAAAATATTTCTTATACACATGTCACCTTTTTGTTTCATTGTCTTTTACTTTGTTTTATTTCTGTTCAGTTATGTAGAATAATAAAATTCCAAATATACAAGATTTATTAGTTTTTGAATCAGGAATTATTTATGTTTATTTAGTTATTAAATTTTTGCTTATCTATGCCATGTTCAGTAGTATACCAAGGTGAAGCTTTAAGCAAGACTTCATATTCAATAGTATACCAGGGTGAAACTTTATGCAAGACTAGGAAATGTGGAGAGAACTACCTAAGACAACTGAGTGGTAGACAGCCGTCTGAGTATTTTTGATGCAAAATATTTTGTGTTTAAAATAAGGAAAATAAAATAATGTGAAGTCTAAATAAAAAAAAAATTAAAGAATGCAAAGGAATTTTATCATTTTTTGTGCATTGCAAATAGTATATTACTTCGGGTGGAATATCTGCTTCAAATATCACCTTGTAATCCTGAATATTTTAACTGAGCAATGAGCTTATGCGTTAACTCTCAATAAAACTAAAGCATGTAAATGATTCATAATTATGCTGTAAGACATTCATCTGGTTACTCATTATTAGACTTACCGTAAACTTCTGAAAGTACCAGTGGAATGAGCTAAAGGTTATTGTTAATGATGATGAACTGCAGCTTTAAATGAATATGAAGCAAACCAAAATTCCTAAGATATTCAAAAATTCAGGTACGTCATTCACCAGCATATAACATGGAGCTTTATTGTAAAGATACTGATTAAATATGTGTCTCAATACTTGAAAGTTTTAGACCTGTTGGTAAAAATATATATTTCTTTTCTCGCATTTGTGGGGAAAAAGTAGTTTTTGCCTCTTTTTAATATTATAAAGTCTTACAAAAGTGCATGAATATTCTGCTTTGGGCTCTTCCTCATGTAGTAGACAAAACTTTGTTTGTCTAAAGCTAGAATTAGTATAGCAACTGCCAACACTTTTTGGGGTAATTTCACATCTCACAAAATTTGAATATACTGCAGTCAAATTGGTAAACTGTGGTGGTAGTTTGACTAACAATGCTCTTCATTCTTACAGCTAGTTGAAAATATCTACATCAGGGCACAGAACTTAATTTGCATATGTAAAAGTTAATGTGAATCTGTTATTAATCAGTAATCATAAGCATCCTCCTTTACCCTAATAGATCTCATCCTCTTTTCCACAAGTTGTACACTATACTATGATACTCACCACTGCCAGCCAAAATATTCTACATTCTTATCAGTTGATTACTATCTGTTTAAATTTCAAACTCTTAATTGGGAGAAATCAGTAATGAGACAACTGATGCAGTTTTTAATTAATGCCAATAAATAATAGCAAGAGAAACTGTCATGAAGTAAATAAAATATGGCAGTTTTTGTTGTTGAGTTCTTTAGCATTAGTTCATTTGGCATGCCCCTTTTTAAATTTTTTCTGTAGGACCAGTGTATATTTTCATGTATAAAAATTTTCTTTTTGAAGTTTTTGTTCTTATTTATTCTTACATCTATTCTTTATATTGAAATATGTAGTGATGATGGGAACATTTTACATGATATAACCTAGTTATTTATGTAAGCAGTAAAGGTGTCTATGTAAGATTGCTAAATATCGATTTGTAAAACTCCAACTGATGCGATTTGATGGAGATAAAAAGATGACATGTCAGTGTGATATATTAATTGTAATTTCAACATTATTTTTATCTGTGAAAGTGAACCTAAAATTTTCTTTTTCCTGCATAATATTTAGACATTATAAGTATTAAAGCAGTAACTAATCATGTAGTTTTTGGGTGCACTAATACGTACTATTACAGACTTTTCTTAACTAACAATGAAATTACTTTCTGCTTTACTTATTAACCAATCATTCAGAATAAATGATTCTTGGTTTAAGATTATTAGTATTGCATTATGCATCTCATTTTGCAGTTTAGGACAGTCTATCATTACAAAACAATTAACATGTGCAAATTGCACATCTAAAATCCTAGAAAATGGTAATTACCTCTGTGCCACTTGAGCATTTGTACAAGTATTCTTACTCTCTGAATGAGCTACTAAATTTAACTGTTTCTTAGATATGTCTCCATAATGATGTATATTTTTAGTAGATGTAGAAATGATGGTATAGAAATATTGATAGTTATTGAGATGTGTATCCATAGTGAACAGCAAACTTGGTAGCCAAAGCAGGTTAAATATTAATTTTTATTTCAATTGACATTTATGGCCATAATCCAATTGACACTCTGATCATGCCTATTTCAAAAATTTAAATTTTTTATATTTTTGCAATAAGAAGAGAAACAGCTGTCTTGGAATGCCAAGGGACAGAAAGCAAATGTTTATTTATACAATATGGAAGCTTAGTTTAAGAGAAAGGTTTTGGTTTGAATTAGATACTACGTCTTCATAATGTAAAAGTCATATGATTATGGATTAATTTAGATGTGATGAAGTCCAGAAAAAGTTATTAAGCAATTACTGTTTTTAAAACAGAGAGGGAAAATACACAAATTCAAATGAAGAATTAAGGGGCTATTGCTGATTCAGTTTAAAAATTTTATTCACATATTTTTATCTTATATTTGTCATCCTTTTTCTTTAATTAACTAGAACTCTTATACGTAATGTATAGATTATAAAAATAAAGTAAAATGTTGCATTAAATGAGGTAATAACTATTATATAACTTCATAGTATGAGCTGTTGTAGAGCTTATTTTTATAATTAAATAATAGAACTAAAGTTGAATACCTACCTTCTAAAAACTGAAGAATCACATGCAGACGGAAACATGGAGATAGGGTTCCCAAGAAGAGCAACAAAGTTTTGATGCTAAGAAGCCAATTTTATTTTGATATTAAGACTGCAGTGCAGCAGAAATGCTAGCTAAACTCTAAACTATGGCTGTTACTTTAGTGTACTACTGATTATGGCAAAAATGTAGATTATATTTTTATGATTTAATAATAAAATTAATGAACCATCAAGTGGAGAGGTATTTATGTAAAGCATTAGGTTTTATTTATGCATGCAGTCTGCACTGTCTCTGTAGGTTCACCACCAACAGCAACTTCCACAGAAAGTCCAATTCTTGTCATTCTTGGTGTAGTCTGTGGTATCATATTGGTCATTCTAGCTTTCGCTCTGGCTCTTTTTCTTATTCGGTAAGTTAAAATACCTTTTTTTAGTCTCGGTGGTTGAGGGAATAAATTTGGTAAGTAATTAGTGTGTGCATATAATAAAAATTTGAAATGTCATTATGATGGATAAAATTTTAACAAAGTATTTTATTTTGCAGTTTATATATTTGAATATCTGTGGGTTAGAATAAGAACATTTTACATTTTGCATCAATGAATTATGTTATACAATGAAGAGTAGTAGTACATATTATAGTATTCCAGGTAACCACTGCCTGAATTATTTTGGGAGTTATATTTCGAGGAAGACTGACCGAATTGGGTGGACAGGTACTTGAAACAAAGTTTTTAATTATCGTTCACAAAGAGTTAAAAATGGGGCAAAATATTGTATAAGGATCAACGCAAGGAACCAAATTTGATGGTATATCGAAAGAAATGCACTGGCGCTTCGTATGTGACTGGCATGATATAAAATTTTATGTACACTGGTGAAATAAATTAAGAGAATTTGCATATTTGATCCACGATCTCCATAACTACTGGACAGGTTTTAATAAAATTTGGTGTGAATATAAGTTGATATAATACAAACAAAATAAGCATTCAACAGTTGTAATAGACACTCATGTTCGTGTGTAACACTCATGGAAGTCTGAAGGTCTGACACAGCGGTTGCAGAAGACACAAAAGAAATGGGTCACTATGTGGTATAGTCCCCTCTTACAGCCATACAGGCTTCGCATCGTGATTTCCTACTGGAAATAAGGCAGTTTATCTGTGCCTGTGACAATTGATCCCACTCATTCAGCAACGCTGTTTTCAGTTCCTGGATGGTTCTCGGAGCAGTGTGTCGAGTTGCAATTGCTCTCCCCAGAGCGTCCCATACATGCTCTATAGGGTTGAGGTTTGGAGACCTGGCTGGCTAATCCATCCGGCGGATATCCTCACTCTCGAGAAATTCATCGACAAGAAGAGCTCTATGGGGCCTCGCGTTATCGTCCTGTAAGATGAACTCGGGGTCCACTGCTGCCCGGAAAAGGCGAACATAGGGCTTCAAGACCTCATCCCTATACCTCATACCAGTCACTAGCCTCTGGAGAGCTGTGCGGCCTTCCAACATGAACTTCCAACATGCGTGCCCAGACGATTACAACGCCATTGCCATAATTTTTTGATTTCGCGGACATTGGAGGGTAGGTAGCGGGTCATTGGCTCTCTCCATATGAAAGTACGGCGAGAATCGGTGTTTAGGCTAAAACGGAACTGGCCCACCAGCGGCCGAGCGGTAAAGTCGTTGAACGCTGGTAGTTCGGTCCGTGGTTCGAATCCCGCGAACGGGCTGGCTGCATGGGCGTTTTCGTGGTTTTCCCCATGTGTAACGTGTATACGAGCCAGTTTCCCTTAGAAAGTCCTCCACGAAGGCATCCCTCCCCTAAGGCAGATATCCCTAGTGTGCTTTGCCATAATTAAATACACACCTAAAACGGAACTCGTCGGTGAACAGAACGGTCGCCCATTGCTCCGTATTCCAATCACTATGCTGCCTGCACCATGCTAATCGGGCTCTCCTGTCCGTAGACGTGAGCGGGACGCAAGCAGCCGGTTTTCTGGCAAACAACCCTCTCTCATTGAGTCTTTTGGAAACAGTCACCCTAATTACACGGGTTCCTGTGGCTGCATACAGGTCCCGAGAGAGATGATAAGCTGTAGCCCCTCTGTTATGCCTCGCTAAAGTGGACAAATAGCGATCTTCTCTGGCCGTTGCGGCTCTTGGACGACCTTGTCCAGGCTTTCTCTCAATGGATCCAGTATCCTGGAATTGTTGCCATAGGTTACACACGACTCTGGGCGTTAAATGAAACTCTCTGCATATCTGTACTTGCGATTGGCCTGCCTCTAGCCTCCACACAATTCGCCACCTCATTCAAACGTTGGTATTTGCTCATTTTTACTGTTCCGATGTGAATTTAACCGAATGCTGCAAGATAACACCAAGAAATTCGCCGAGGTGTGCTAGCAAACGCAATTCATCTTAGCCTCCACGCGCTTATAAAGCCTCTTTTTCTGCTGGCTTCGCCTACACACACGTGTAAGCTAACGTATTTGCCGTACAAGATTTGCATTTTTATATAGAAGCAGTGGATTTTCCTTCAATTCAGTTATTTTCATGCAATTCGATAAAATATGCAAATTTTCTTAATTTATTTCACCAGTGAATTAACTATACTGATGTGAAAAAAATATATCAAAGTTATTTTGATTAACTCTTCCTTATTTGAATTTAACTATGCGATAAAAATTGGGCGGAGTGAATGTTAATGGAGGAAAAAGTATTTGTTACAAACTTTCACAAGGAAACATATTGGAGTTTTTGATAATAATCGCTTCGAAATTTTTCAGGATGATCTAGCATGTGTCCAAAACAACGGTTGCAAAGTGTTGCAATTTGTAATCGCGCGCAACATCCTGAATAGGCCGTATTATCTGTTTCGCGCGTCCGCAGTATTTGCAGCCATAGGTTGGTAAACATAATGTATTTGTGACGTTTGAAGCTTACTGTGGCAGACCGCGGAATTAGCTTATTGAACTGCCGCTGTCTTGTGGTGGCCTGTGCAATGACGTAGCTAAACAAGCTGTCCACCCTGGGCGACGCCATTCGAAACATGGTGGGTAGTAATAAGAATCGTCAAAGTATGTGTAGAAAAACAAGATTCTGAATTCCCATACGGAATTAAAATTAGAAGATTGCTCTAGGTAGAGTATTAAAAAAACACAGTCAGATTTCAATAGCTACATGTTTACGTTGTACCTTCCTTAGCCCATCGAAGCGTATGAATGAAAAATACGAATATTAGATTATTAATATTACAAATTATGATTATGGTGGCATTAATAAAGAAGAATTTCTCGTTAAAAGAGAAATATTTTAGTTATATTCCCGTTATTGTTAAAGAATACGAAATAGACTTGAAATGGCGTTCCTTTTGAACATTTGCAATTTCTTCTAAAATACGGTGCACAGAATAAATTTCTAAATATTGTGATATTGCTGAGAATTTTCTGGTAATGGCTTTAAGTGCTACTTGTTATGAGAAAACCTTTTTTAAATAAAAATCGCTTAAGAAATACTTTAGACCCACAATTTGAATAGCATATATTTAAAAAAGCTTTCTGCAGAACAGCAACTAGAGAAATGAAGTTGACATCTACAGTGCGATCGATGGTTTTGCCAAAAGGAAATAGACAAAATAGAATTTTAAATTGTTGGTTGGTATTAAAGTTTTACTGGAGAAATTAACATAGATTTAATTTATATCACTAGATTTCGTTTCAGCATTTTTTTAGGTTTTTCGCTTGTCAACAGAGATCACGTGATGATGTCATCATAAAATTGCTTATATTACATCTAATCTCTCACAATTCACTTGTCAACAGAGATCACGTACATCATCATAACATCGCCTATGTTACGCGCTTTTCTGAATTCGATGTGGATGTGCTGGCTAATTCAAAACATTTTGTGTTCCATTGTGTCCCCCTTTCAAGAGCATGACATTTACTCGGTGTTGTCTCGTATTTTCAGGCAAAAGCAGCTAAGGATTTTTTTCCCCTTCTGATAGAGTAAAGAACTTCCGTACAAAGTGCTTATCAGTGAACGCTGAAATCATGTCGCCTGTTGTGTATTTTGAGTCACTTCCGTCATTTATATTCGCACATAACTTAAAAACTGCGAGCCATTCAACTAATCGAACAACATACTTATTGCACCACAACATTACTTTCTTAAGGTCGAATATGCCTGTGCTGTGTCAAGCAATAGACTGCTTGAGCCGTACGAGATGCATACCGCCTGCCAGGAATGCGCTTGTTAACGACCTTGTAACTGATTAGATGCATTATATTTGCCTGTCCGTGGCTGAAAATATTGCACATGCAAGCGCTGCGTTATGCAGTCAGTTCTGGGAGCTGTGGGCGATTACAAAATGCCATATTTTGCACCTGTTATTTTGTTCAGATGTTTCGATCACCTCTGAAAGTTTCTTGACAATTGTCGTCGGGGGATTCGGTAGTTTTCCTTTACAGCTAATATATTTATAAGAGCCATGACCCATTGCTTAACTAATATGCAAACTTAAGATATTATAAAAAGCATGAAAATATGGTTATAAAATAAGAAGTAATCAGATTTTTTAAACAGCAGAGCAATCTTTTTCGAGAATTCATATTGTTCTTTTAATTCGTCTAATCAACCAGAAGACGACAGTATAATATTTTTAGTCATTTATGTAAGCTTTCTAGCTTTACAGAGAGAGTTAGTTATACAATAGTTTTGAGGAATAATGGCATATTATTTGTGATCAGATGTCAGTGAGTTTCTAAAATGAATTTGAAAAATAGATATTACAGGTGGAGAATGACCTATTAATTTAAGTTGTTGAGTAAACAATTCTTTCGGAAGTAACAGCGGATGCTGACAATTTAACTTTTTAGAATTCCTGTAAGTTGTAGGTAATCAAGGGCAAGTAATTTCGAAGAGAGAATCCCAACTAGTAAGCTTGGTATGTTTGAACTATGTCTGAACTATGTCTGCACTATTACTCATTCAGGCTAAAACTTAAAATTTCATTCGGAGTTCACCCAGGCCCGACTCTGATGCTTTATCAATTTTTGAACGACATCGTAATTCCAGTAGAAGTCAAAACAAGATGAGTTCAGGTTCTTTATTATAATTGCATAGCAAAAATATCAGAAAATTCTGCTGCTGACGCAACATTTATAACAGGAACTAATAAAATTGCCATTGGTTATTAAAAACTATTGAACGTATGTATCTTGCGGCCGCCACCCAAACAGTATAGTGCCACTAGCTGACATACAGATGGGCCCGGGTTTGAATCTCGAAGAAGGCATGGATGTTTGTAAAAACTTATAGTGCCTGTGCGGCAAGGGACACTCAAAATGCAAGGCGAATTGAAAGTTCTCTCGAGAGGATGCCGGTAGGGAAAGAAGGGTGGGAGACC